TGAGATGACTGCAGCCCAGCACAGTAGCTACAATGGTATTACATTTCTTTAGAGTTGCTGGCTCCCAGGGGCTGAACTCTGTTTTGGCTTGGTCATTACATGAATCCAGAAGAGGCTGTTAACAACAGTTTGCGTCAGATTCACTCTTCAATTGCATGTGAAAGTTTCTTCTCTAAAACCTCTTACTACTCATTACGCCCTCTCACGTGAATTTAGGAAAGCTAAAAATGTCTGGTGATTAATGGGAAGAGAAGTCAAGAAAAAGAAGGGCTGCGAATCAGGACACTTTTTTTTTGTTGTTCCTTCTTACTGTGTTAAGTAAGCACTGGTGTCTTCCTTTGGGCACATGTCCTAGTCCAAATTTATCAAGACTGTTCATTAACCCAGGAAAACAAGGACTCTGAAAGGCAGGAATATTTAGCACCCCTGAAAAATGGGACAGAATGAGAAGAACTGCATCATGTTTGCTTTGTTTCCCTGCTTCAATAAATAAAGTGTCTCTCCCATTTATTGTGCTCACTCATAAACTTGGAGAAAATAACACTTCTCTCTACTGAGCTTGACTTATTCGTTTTGGTAGATATGGTAATTGAGGGTTTGCAGTCCTCTAAGCCTTTTTTTTTTATTATTTTTACTGAAGACCAAAACAAATCCAGCTTTTTCATATACTGTTACTTCACAGGAGAGTGTTTTCTTAGAAAATGCAAACAGAAATGGAATTTGGTGGCACAAAAAGGAAAGGAAGAAAAACTTTCAGACACAACCTGGTCTTCTCAGTTTCGTCTGCTCCAGTAACTGAGTCATTAGGGCAGAAAGAATGGTAAGGAAATATTCTAATTATTATTTTTTTTTAATTACATCTTCTGAGTTTTTATTCAAGAATCTTTCACTCTCATTACACCAGAGCTATGCTGCTATTCTACTGTCTAATCAGGTTAACGTACTATGGTTATCATAGAGTGACCTTCATGACTGTGTGGCACAGAATTCTTCCCCTCTTTCATCACAATATTAAGCAATCCTTCATCTCCTCTTTTTTCCTATATGAAATTACACAATTTCCCCCCTCCAAGAAAGAACCTTGTGCTATTTTCTATTTAAAAAAAAAACCAACAAGCTACATTTCCATTGAGCACGCTTCCAATTTTTGGAAAGCGAGCTGCAAACATCTTCTTAAATAGTACTATTGTGAGTGATCTTCAGATCCCTAAGCAGAATGAAAGCTGTAAGCTTACAACTCCATCAGCAAGGAAAGATTCAACTGGCATGAGCCCAAAAAAACCCATAGTAATAGACAGTGATCAATATTCCCATTCTACCACGATTGTGCTAAACTCAGGTAAAAAAACCCACAACATTTTATCCTTCATATGATGATGTCCCCGGGAATTTCTTCCAATAAAAGCCAAAACTCAAAAGGCAAAATGCATAAATTCCACCTATAGCAACATTTTTAAAAAGCATGCAGCTTTGGTTAGAGAGCTAACCTTTATTGGAATTTACTGGCTTCTGCTGCTTTGCATCAACACTTGCACACAGAAAAAGAAATGCTACAGATTGAAGAAAATGCAAATATCATAGCCATTTGCAAAAAATTTCTGCATGTATTTCCACAAGGTAAGAAAAAAAAGCCAAATAAAAACCAAAACCTTTTCCTGAAAAGAATTTATACCTTATCAAACCCATGCTGTTTGCTCCATTTTTGTTAGTTTCATAGTAACCTCATCAAGCATATAATATTTTTCCTGACTGATAGGCATAGAATGATGGAATTGAACAATCAGAAGTTCCCTGTAGTAAATGATCAGGTCTTCAGAAGCGCACAGCTCCCATCCCAGCTCTTACAACAGTCAGTACGAATTTCAAAAGTGTTCAGTAATAGGGAGGAATTTTCAAACCTCTCTGGGTAACTTAGACACATTAGTCTCATTGAAAGTTAATGAGCCATGTGCTGCTCATGCTTTTGGGTGCTTTGCAGAAAACACAAGTTATGACTGGTATCCACGGTGAAAGTTGTGGGCATTTTAAATATTTGATCTTAAGCTGTTTTGGCTAATTCTGCTCTTAGCTACAGATGTGTAGCTTCTCCTTATGGTATATTTATCTGTCCAATGAAGCAATAGCTCCCCTTGCTCTGCTCTTTTGAAAGTCTGTCAACACAGAGCATCTGAATGCAGCTGTGAAAAGAGCTGCATATCCTGGCCTCTAGCCCCTAGGACAGTCCCAATCCTCCATGCAACTGAGCTGCGTGAAGCCCACGGCCAACAAATTCTGCTGCATCTTGTACAGAAAGGAATAATCCACACAGCTAAGAGAGTTACTGAGTAACGACAGTCACTGCACTAGGGTGTTAACTCTGCTACCTAGCTGTAAACATAGAAAGAGCAAGACAATCTTAAGTCTTTCCCTAGTTATTTATTATGTATCTTTCCCTATCTATGTATCCCAACAATCTAAATGCTAGAAGAGTAAAAGCTGCTAAGAATATCTTCCTCTTTACTATAGCCTCTCTGAATTAATTTTTAAAAGATGAATAAGGAGATGCATACTTTAATTAAGCAAAGGTTAAATAGATTACTGAACAAGAAAGTGAGCAAGCAAGAATCAGTGTCCCCTTAAGCACTGAAAAACATATTAGGCTGTCAGGAGAGAATCATTCAGCTTTGCTGCCCACTGAATCTGTTCTTAGAGCAACCGATTCAATCAGAATTACCTTCCAACAGCATTATATTAAAGTTGGAGAAGATAGATCTGCATGTTATATTATGAATATGAAAAGTAAAATTGAGAAGCAAAACAAAACTGTGATTAAAATCCATCACAGGTAATCCTTTCTTAAGGCTGAAAGGAATGTAAGGTCTGCTTTCATATGAAATCGCTGACTTCATGCAGGTTCAGCAACACAGAGGGTTTACCAGGAGCCAGTGGCAATAAGTGTTCATAGCCTAAAGGAAAGGAAAAGAGGTTCACCCCTCATGGCAAAGGTCAGATTTCTGCAGGCTTATAGCCTGTCTATATACATGAGTGTTCGTGGACCATCTTTGTCTAGTAAGGTCCCATGAGGATGACACAGGCTCCACAATGTCCCCTCTGCCTGGAGGATGGCCCTATAACCACCCAGATCAGTTTAGGGTCATTTGACTTGTGTCAATCTGGTTCCTGTTGCTTTTACTCTCAACCTGATGAACAATCATTGCAATCTTTGTGGCGTGTTGCCGAAGGCTGGAATTAAACAGCTGTAGTATACATAGAAACTGGATGTGTAAACAGGGTATTTAACAGTTGCTATTTTCATGGATGTGGAGAGCTATCAAATATACTCCCTTGTTAAGATACAACATGTTGTATACTTCATTTATATATGCTTATCAGAATCACTATGTAAATGTCATAGAAATGGTTATGCTAATGATTATATTAGCATTTGTCTATTTATTCTGTAGATATCTTTTCAGAGAGTCATCATGTCCTTTGTTCAATTTTGGAACTGATGCACTGCATGCCCAAATATTTGGAATAACATATAGAAAACATCTGGATTTAATTATATTATAGTCCTCTTATGCAGACAATGGGAATTGAATTAAGGAATATTTTGAAACCCCCACAGAGATATAAAAGTATTAGCAGCTGCAGGAGAACTTTACTGTTACAATGTTTGAAAATGTTTTGTTTTACAGATCAACAGTCTGACACATCATAAATATCAATCATAACATTTAAGATCTACAAACATGGAAGAAAAATTAAAACTTGCATTACAAAAACAAGTAATGAATTTACAGTTATTTAGAAGATGTCAAGTATGTCCTTTCATTTTAAAAATGAAAACGTATATTCTATTGGCACAGAAAATATATGTTGTACAGTGGTATTAAGCAGAGAACCACATAAGGGCTTATTGCGGCTGAATAGCCTGAACAAGATTTTATAGAATCTTATATTGCCACCATATTGTACAAAAAGTAATTCAGCTAGAATAAATCAGCATTTTGCTTTTCATGCTTTCATTCCTTTGAAAATATTTGGGGATATGAGCTTAGAGTCTGCCCCTAAGTATTAGATACAGACTGGATTTTCTTTCTGAATATATGCTGGTTCCAAATGCCACTTCTTTTCAAGTCAGTACCAGTTTTGCAGTTAGTTTTCAGTCTCCCAGTGGCTAAATCTTATTCAAAGACTGTTAGCACAGTAGGGGATCAGACTTTCTCTCTGAATGTAACTATATCACTCAACAGCAGTCTCATGCAATAAGCGATCTAATGTTTTCTTTTCTTTTTTTTTTTTTCCTTCCCTCTTCTTACTGTCTCCCTGAATTCCTGGATACTAGTCAGTGCACCAAGGACCCGAGGCAACAGCCACATGGACTCCATCACCACCCTTCTAGCTTTCTTTATGGTGCAGAAAAAGTTAATACTGCAGTTCACCTGCTGTTGAGACAAAAGGTTCAGTTGCTAAATCCTCTGAAACACTTAAATGAAAATGTTCTTGTACAGTATTACATATTTCTATGTGTAAAAAGCACAGAAAAAAGTGTGCATGCCTGTGTATGCACATATGCAACTTTGACAACCAATGAGATATAAAATTAATCCAAGTCCTCCTTTCCATGAATTCCCCTAAAAATGTCCTGAAAAACATTCTCTAAAGGAAGCACGCTATCTGAAGGCAAATATTGTACCTACCATGCAAAACAGAGAGAACTAGAAGTAATACTGAAACAAACAAAACAATGCCATAAAAGACCCATGAAATGATGGTCTGTTTAGAAACTAAATTTATCAGGACTGAAGCTTGCACTAGCTGTTAAGTGTTGGGAAACACCAACTCCTGATACCATCTGGTCTTCACCTTGTAAAGATGCAGTCAGGATCTTTGAACTTACCCGTAGCATCATTCTGAACAGGCTTTGTGGACTAGGATGATGGCCTTGCTGATGGTTAAAGTAAAGGGCAGGAGAATTGCTGGGTAAGGGGCTCGAATAAACTACACTAACCCACCCGTTTTACGAAGAGGAAAATCATCCTTGGCATCCTGTGCTCCTGGTAAAGCATATTTGTACGGTGGCGAGGCCCCGCTCAGGGGTGGAGAGCTTTGATCCAGTGAGGTATGGTGGGCAGCCCTGCAGCAGACATAGAGAGGTCACAAATTAGCAGTCACTGAGGTGACCAGCAGTAACTGTCTACACATGTTGTACACTTTTCTCAGCTGTGTTTATTTTCTTGTTCATCTAAGTGTGCACAAACCACAGGCTCATGTAACCAATTTCACTTGTACAGTAAGTTATGGAACTCCTTGGGATTCCCAAGAATGTGTTTTTTGCACTCATTATAACAGTCACATAGGATAAGAGTAACATTGACCTACAGACAGAATCTGTCACCAGTTTGGGGAATTGACCATTTTAGACTCTTGCATTTTAATATGAACCAGCTGGGGCACAGCAAAAACCATTTACATCTTGTTTATCACATACAAATAGATGTACATTGATCCAAGCCTCTTCTATCAAAATCTGGGAGATTTTCAGGGCAGGAGGGCTTGTATAAAACTAAGCAGAAATACTGAGCTCTTCTTCTCTGCTGAACATAAAAAAGCAAACTTTTTAGTGGACAAGGCAGATAAAACCTTGCAGGTAAGTTCAGTTTGTAAGATTTCAAGCCCACCACTCTGCAGCACGTAGCATTCATATCAGCAGAAGAGTTCCAAGCTGAAGAGTGCTTTCTGACAACTGCTGGATGAAAGAAATAGTGTGGGCACATCTTTCTGAACATGGAAGCTGCAAATTGCAAAGAAATAGCATCATCTGGCCAGAGAGGGAAGATTTTAAGCTTTGTGTTTATCTAAACATAATTTTACTTGGCCTTTTACAGAGATTCTCCCTATCTTCCCAGTGTAGTGTGGTTAATCAATACTGTGACTCTGTCAAAAGGGGCACTAGCATAAGAAGTACTACAATCCCTAGTGTAGCAGAAGACACCCTCTGCAGAACTTTTTGTTCTCACTCATCTGAAGACTCAAGAACTAAGCTTAGATTATTAGTCCAGGAATTTTAGGTACTCAAGTGAATTTTACACATTATTTGGGAACCAAAAATAGTGTATCTCCACCAGAAACATGTATCTATATATTAAATCATGTTAACACAATGCTCTGATTAGCTCACAATGGAAACTCCAAGTGAAGACCTTCAGTAATTCCTGTTAAAAAGCACAAGATGGAAAACTAGCGTACAATATGCATTTCTGTTTGTCCTACTGAAGATAAATTCAGGTGTAACATTGACGTCTTTCAGAAATGCAGTGAGTTAATTTTGTTGGATTGACTTATGTGTCTGTTGTAAAAACTGTAAACTCTTAAAATTTGGGGGTTAGAGCTAGATGATCTTAAGGTCCTTTCCAACCGTAACTATTCTGTGATTCTATGTTAAGAGGCCCATTCCAGGATTCAAAAAAATCACTTGTTTCAATGGCCTAAGCAGATACTTATCAAGGCCAAGGCATCATAAGAATAAGCAGTTTTGCATTCTAAAATCCATTTAAGTAAGAAAAGTCAAATGACTTCTATCCTTCTCAAAATCCTTGTGAGTTACCTACACCATTCAAGTAACCTCACTGAAAAGCAGCATCTCTTCAGAAGAAGGAACAAGTTATGTGATTGATTCAAAATCCAAGTAAATCAAACACAAGCTGTTCTAACTGCAAAAAATTGAAGAGACTATGAAAAATGACAGATGCAATTGCATCAAGAGATGAAGCAGCTGAAATAAAAAGTTAATATAAATTTCTGACAGCATCTTGTTCTGTATAATTCTTGTGTCTGAACACTGAGTACTCTTCAGTTCAAGCAGAAATACACTTCTAGCTTCCTGCTGACTTCTTGGTTGAACTTCTGTTTTGCTCTAAAGGCAGTCTCTCAATACCCCTGCTGGAGAAGCGTTGTGGCAAGTTTTAACAGATACCTCAATGAGGCAAGGAATCATCTTAATACTGAACATACGTATACCAGAGCTTGGGGTGGCGGCTCATGGAATGATTCTTCCCATTTGCTGGAGAGTCTTTTGTTGCCGATTTACTCAACAGGAACTCTTGAAGTTTCTGCTTCACTTCTGTACTGGCCACTGCCCCTAAGACACACAGAGTTAAATGCATCTTATCTTTCCTTAAAAAAAACAAAACAAAAGCCAAAACACAAGAAAGAGCCTGTGTCTTGCTGCTGGAAGTGTTGTAAACTATAAAAATACTGGTGGAAATCAGTCAAATGAGATAACATTTGAATTAAATGCATGTCTGTAGAAGACTGAAGTTGGCCATAACCCAGCTATCCAGTGAAGTCATAAGGAATATTTCAACAGTTGATGAGGCCATTTATCCAGGACCAGATGTATCTAAAGAATTTAAATTATTTCCTAATAATTCCCAAATACAAAACCAAGGATAGAACTAAAAAGACAGTGACAAAAGGTCACTTGGAGTTTGCAGAAAAGAATGCTTTTTCAATCTTTTAGTAAAGTAATAGCCCAGCAAAACTGCCCTCTGAACAGTCCAAAAAGAGACAGTAGTGAGCCTTTTTATTCAAGCCACTTGAAAAGTCTGTACCTGTGATGCCTAGAAGACAAACCACAGTCTGAAAAATGAGTCTTTGTTAATAACTCTACTCTTATGACACAAAACCAACAGAAAGACCAAAACACCAGGAAGACACAGTTCATTTTGACCTCTCTTGGTGGCTAATTCAATACAGTACAAGAAGTAGGGCAAGTCAATTTCAGGTTAAACTGCAATTCCTACTTACAGCATGGGACATGCTTCTTTACTAACAGCCATATTAGTCTTCATAAAAACAGCACATGAAAAACAAAATCTTTAGCTTTCCGTAAACACTGACAAAAAAGGGAAGAAAAAAAAATCTCTTTCAAAATGGCATCACCAAGGCATATTGATACTGTAAATATTTGGTTACTCGACCCTGACACAGCACAGCTAGCTGGTGAGCATGTGCCCCTGTGACCTAGTTCCTATAAAATACCTCTATTACCCTTCAGCTTCAGACCCAACTCCCCTCCCCACACCTTCATTCCCTCCTCTACTCATTAAGTAGAACAGCAGCAATGCAAACACTGGGACTGGGCCTGGGGGTCACAAGTGCTGCTCGGCTGGCTGCTACATACTGAACAGCCACCCAGAAAGGCAAACTAAGATGGAAACCGCTAATTTCACTGCTCCTCCTTTGGTGGGAGCACTAGTAAAGCCAAACTTTCATATGGAGGCTGATTTTTCATACCACTTACAGGAAACTTTTATTCCTGTAGTTTCTGCCACCCTTCCACTGCTGGGTTGGTAATGTTTCCAAGTATTCATTATTCACCAAAGTACTAGAAGCACCATAGGCACCTTAATTTCTAAAGCCTACAATACGGCACACCTACAACTGAACCGCTACATTTTTCCACCCAAGTAAAAGAGGCAGGAGTATAATGTACAGTTTATTTCCTGCTTCTTTGTCAGTTAATTCTTGAGGACATTTAGCAGGGCAAGTAACAATATCTGCTCACGGCAGCTTCATTTTGAATACCTTCATGATGTACTTCAACCTGATTTTTAAACTGACCTCAATAAGGAGAATTATTTGTATGTGTCTCCCTCTAGTGATCACCAAATCCCAGCAGCACACTTTGTCATTTATCTTAGAGCAGTGTATGAACTAAAAATAACTTTTAGGCATCAAAACCAAACATAAGGTAGTTTGAAAAAGTACTAGCAAAAGTGCTAAAAAGTTTCAGCCAAAGATATTCTTAAATATTTTATATTTCCAACCTTGAAACAACATTTGATTTAGTATGTAATTTCTTTTTTTGTTTGTTTTGGTTTTTGTAGTACTTTCTGCATTGGGAAATAACCTCTACAGAAAGAAGTTCTCATGTGAAGCTTTAGGCTTTCAGATTCCCTCCTTATAAAATGAGACAGACTCTTGAGAGGCATATACACGGGTCTGTCAAAATGTGCTCTCCTGCATTCAGCCAAGTCTGCACATACACCAACTATGAGTTTCTGTGGGTGCAGGACATGGCCCTGCTTTTCTGCAAGCACAGCCTCGACTTCTCTAGTTGCCTATTTTACACAGTAACAGGCTTGCTTCAGGCTCCTGTTCGTGGTCCATTTTGTCTGGGTGAAAGCAAAGGGAAACAGAATAATTTCTTCTTAGAATTCATGGTACATTGACTCTTACTTTCTCGGCCTCTTTCTTTGCCTCGGAGGGGAGGGAGCTGTTGTTCCCTGCGATGCCTCTCCAGCTCCTGCTCTTGTCTCTGCTGCTCCAGTTTCTGCTCTTTTTCAATGAGTTCTTGCTGTTGTTTAATGGCTAGGAGTTCCTGTTGTAACTTGCACAGAACAAAAAGACATAAGAGCAGTTTGCACTGTTTTCCTGGTCACTCTTGGCTAAAACATCCCACCCCCCACCCCCCACCCCCCCCCCCCCCCCGAATAACTGAGTAACAGTGCCTGATTTTGGGCTTACACTTCTGTTCACCTCTTAACTGACTTTCCCCAGTCTCTGAAGCAGGATAGTGCATTACTGGCTGTCACTAAAATGAACTCTAATGTCAGGTAGCAGCCTGATGCTCTGGTTTCACTTCTTTCTCTTTTGGCAAAAATGCCTGGAAACTTCACAAGGTTCTTTGCCAGTGCATGACCCAACTCTGGCTGCTGTTCTCTGCTGCATTTGTCAGCTCCACTGGGTGGAATCAGCACAGTAGCATAACGACAAGTAGATCAGAAGGAAAAAATGAAAAGAAGGGCAAGATCATAAATTCACAGTCAAAATCCATTATAGCAATCCTACTATAGCGCATGTAATCCCATAAATCATTTACTTTCTACATATTATGAGAGGCAGCCCAGAGAAGAGTGAAAACACAACACTTTCAGGGCCTGCCTCCATTTTACAAATGCAGATATTATGCACTTGCCCATCAATCTGATTTGTGGTCAAAAACTCAAACAGTAGCTCAAAAAAAGCAGTCTCTTAATATACTCAAAAACTGCACATACAGGAAAGAAAGCCATATTGAAGTCTGGCTGAAAAAACAGGTTTGCAAAATAGGTGGTTTGATTTTCTGAAAACATGGTGGCTTCATGAGCTTGATGGTTCTCATAGTACTGCCTTGGTCTGCTGTTAGCAACTCACTGGTAAGTGCTAGCAGTTTTGCTTGAAAAGGCTTTTATCACCCAAAAGCAGAGAAAGAAGCACTCAAACACCAGCTCTCAGTCACAGCCAGCCTTTCAGGCATGTTCCCTTTTCATGCCTGTCTAAGCATATTCAGTTTGCAGATAAGCAAGGGATAAATGAAAAATGTTGCTACCTTAATGTGCTCCTGGAGCTGGGCCTGATGCTGGCGGGTCAGGTTTTCATGCTGCTTCTGAAATTCTGCAATCAGCAGCTGTTTCTGAATTTGCTGCTGCTGCTGGATCAGAAGTAGTTCCTGCTGTAGCTGCTTTTCACGCATAATTGGGTCCACCATGGGAACCATCATCCTGAGGTCAGTTCGCAAGTCTAATGGTGAGATAGGCTCTAATGCCACGGCAACCTCTGGCTTCACATCCACTGTGGGAAGAAAACAACAAAACATACACATATATAACTGGAGAATGAGAACAGAGATCATTCCCCCTGGGGAAAAGATCAATTTAAATCAAAGACTTCTTCAATGTATAGACCTAACAAAATACTAAGGCAATGCAAACTTCAGACATTCCTACTAGCAACTGGAGATTTTACAAATGATCTTATCATCTTTTTACCATCCTCTGCATAAAATACTGCCTGATTAATATCCTGCTAAGCAGACTAACAAATAACCCAGTTCTAAAACCATGTCGCAGACTAACAGAGCAATATTTAGTGAGAATCTCCTAGGTATTATTAATGCCTCACAATAAACAGTCAGGGCACACCTTCAGTGTAAGATGACAACCTTCCAGTTTGCACTGCATTGCAAGAGATTTTCCAAAGCCAGCATGTAGATTTTCTGAGGATGGTGTTGAACATGAATAGCTACCCAATGTGACAGAGCTACTGCATGTAAATATACATAGGAACAACACATATAAAATTAGGAAATAAAAAAATAATTTGACACAAACCAAGAAGTTTTAATACAGCTTTTTGGAAAGGAAACACCATGCTTGGCTTAGACATAATACACTATATACTGTACGAAAATAAAAATGTCTTGAATTATTGCAATTTGTTGCAGCAAGGGAATACATTGTTAATCCAGCATTAAAGTCCTTAATGAAGAATCCTGTTTCCTTCTATCTATTTAAATCAAAGGAACTAAATAGCAGCATAAGAGAGAGATTTGATGATTTTCAATACAATACTTGTAAAGCTCAGGTTTTCACACCAAATGAAGACAGAGTGTAGCTTTATCTGTTTCAAAAGAACAAAAAAACTAGCAAGTAACATTTCTACAAGACCAAAATAAATAGTAGCTGAGGGTCTCCGCTGAAGCTCAGCAGTTCTGATTCCATCCACGAGAGGACAGTGGAACACAAACACATCCACTCTTGCTCTCCTATCTTCTCTGGAAAGTAAGATTATTAACTGAAAACAAACATGCTGTTGGAAACGACTAGAGAACAAGATTTAAAGCATATTTTCTCCTTTTGCTCTGCTACCACTGTATCTGTTTTCAAGGAGAAGACCAAAATGAAACAGAAATATTCTAGCAAGCAGTAAAATCGCAGCAGCAAAAGTTGAAACTGCAGCAAAATGAACAACTGAACTGTAACTGTAGGATCAAATATTTTTGTTTTGTTTTATTATAGATTTATAACACAAGAGACGAGACACCAATCTCTTCTACCGATCATATTCTTATTAAAAAAAAAAAAATCAAAACATAAAACTTTCTGGGTGGTTTTGGTTCTTTTTTTTTTATTTTTATCCTAGTCACTGTTATTGTAAACCTTAGAGCATAATTTGCCTTATTAACCTGCTATCCCAACAGAATGATTGTATCTAGGTGCTTACTTTTGTTCTGAGACTAATCACTGAATTATAAAAAATCACCTTTAACTTACGAAAACTACTTGTGATTATAAATAATTGCCATAAACCAAGAGAAGTGGACAGGCAAACCCCCAGCCTTTCATCCCATTTATTCAGCAGCAATCCACATTCCAGTTGTCTAGACTAAATATAGCCACGTTTATACAAGAAATCAATAGTGCTTGCAGAGAGCAGAGCAAAGACATGAATATTTCATCAAACTCAGAGAGAAATGGCAATCAGCAAATTGACAGCAAACCATGTAGGCTGACTGGCCCTCCAGATAAGTCTCTGGTACTTGGACAATGCCTCATTGCCTGCAAGTCACAATCTTATCATCAGCGCTCTATTTTTAACATTAATTGTGCTGTAGGTGACAAAGGCTTATCATGTTTAAAGTGGAGAGATGGATTTTCTTACATCTTCTGTGACAGGATAATAAGACTTACTAGAAGAAGTAACAGTAACTGGAGCTCGGCAAACCCTGCAGGGTCTGGTTTGCAATAGTGTTTGCAAACTAAACCCTGCATGGTTTGGTTCAGAATAGTGTTTGCACTGCATTTTTTTCCACAGATACTGGCTACAAATCCACCCCTACAAGTCTGCATGTTGATTCAGGCTAATTATACTTCCTATCTCTGATGAACATCCCACTTCTTCATTTTCAGAGCACTTTGCATGAGGGTTGGCATCCAGTTTTTTCCAACAATGGATATTCCCTTCCGCTATTAGTAAAACGTACAACTGAAGGCAGGCTCAGACTGGTGAGATTCACATTTTCAAGAATTTTTACACACTCAGACAATAAATCTGGTTCTGGAATATCTATTTCATTGAGTTCAACTTTACCTTAACCCTTAACATGGGAGAAAATAAATATTATGGTAGCTCTAGATTGAATCCACAGAAATCAATACATGATCTCTAATGTCACTTAAATGCCAATGTTTACTGACAAATAAAGACAAGCATTTATTTCCTGGCATAACTACTGCGAGCAATAAGGTTACCCCCACCCCCCCCAATGCTACTAATAACTGCTGACATAGAGAATACTAATTTCTGGGGGTAACTACTGTCTTAGAACTGTAATAGCTAAAAGTTGGCTGAATAGTCAACCTCATCAATGAAATTACTCTAAAGGAACTATAAAACCATCAATGAAACCAAATTGTTTGCTACTGTCTGTTAGGCGGTCCTAATGCCACAGGACATTTACATTCTCCTTACTTGTTATCAGCTGACAAGTAAGAGACAAAAGCAGCCTTGTGGAGCTACATCAGTGTGAAAAATGTGTAATGGAGAAGAGAATCAATGTCTTTAAAAGCTTTGACTTTCAGCTGAAGCATCTTTCCCCCCACCACTACCCCAATGCAATTTTAAGTCTCAAAAGAGCAAAGGTGATGCAGGATGTTTATTCTCATCAGGGCTTTTCATGTTTTTTTTCACCCCTCCCCCCCCCCCCCCCCCAACAGATATATGTATTTTTCAGTAAGAAAGGAATGCTCTAATAAGTTCCCTCAACTTCCAAACATCATGAGAAGCAGTGGGATGCAAGACTATAGCAAAAGGACTTGTCAAGACATTAGCCAAAGGAGGAAAAGAATGGATAATGAAGAAAATATTAATCAGAACTTGATGAAGACTAACTTCACTTTAAGGAGCCTTGTTTTGCAGGATTTCCAGTATCACCACTGGAGGAAGGCTGTAGTAGGTACTATTCCCCACTGCGGTCTGGAGCAGATCCTTCCCTACAGCTCTGTCAACTACACAGCAAGCCAGGGATTCCTCTCTAAGGTTAAATAAAGACAAGCTCTTTGAGCTCTTGTCATCTGCAGTGAATACAAAGTAGGCTGTAGAATATTAACTAAAAACGTTACTGAAAACTTGGTGATTCCAGGAAACATGCCAAAATTTGAGCAGGAAAATATTTAATTTTCAGCTACAACACACTGAAAAAGGCATATGTATTTATTTTTCCTATAAATACTCGATTGCCTTTATCTTCAAACACAACAACAAAAATAGGCTCAGAAGAGCAGCCATATCAATTATAATCCATAGATGGCACTTCCCGCAGTGCTTTTGACATTTTGTGGAAAGAAAATAAGATACTTGCAAAACAGCATGCTTGTTGAGTAGATTTAGATGCTTGAAGCACATATGAAAAGAGGCAGAAGAGCTTGGTTTAACCCTGAGGCTTTGCTTTTGGAAACCATTTCTTAAAATGGAAATAGCTGAAAAACTGTAAGTCTTCCACTGAGAGGTGACATTTCAAAGCTTTGTTTCTCGTGACTACTTTCAACTTCTGGTATATTAGAATACACAAATCTTCCAACAGCACACTTTCTTAACATCATATCCCAAGAGAGGCAATCGGTTCTTATTGACAGTTACCTTTCTTTGAAGACACTTATGCCATCTCTAAAAACAGGAACTTAAGGTATGCCGAAACCAGCTGAACAGTCACCACTCATTATTTGAGATGCAACGACGAAGAATTCTAGTAGACTTGCTTACCAGAATATTGCACTTAGGACACTGACAATTCTTACATTAAAGAAACTGTGTGAATTTGCTAGGACTTCAGGGATTCAAGCTAACTCTTTCCCAAAGGCATTTCTCAAGTTAGGCTGTTGGGCTGGGACAATAAAAACGGCTGGAGAGAGAACATGGTGTGAAGCCAGCAAGGGTCTTTCTCCCGCCTTGGCCATCCAAGGCAGCCTTTTACTGGAGAAGCCATTAAGTTTTATGAAGTGAGCAAGGAGGACTATAAAATTTGGAATGCTAAATTAAAATTACATGTGACAAGAGACAGATGACAAGGTCCTCCAACCAGCAACTCCAGTATTAGGCAATAAAAGCATATTCCTGAAACCACACCAAACCAAGTAAAATCTGGAAGAATCATTCTGCCAAGAAATGGCCACACCTTACCCCAGGCATCAACTTGGTGAAATATTACAAAGAAAAGAGAGAATGGGAGAACTGTTTATACTAGTGGTACTCTTTTGAACTCTGCTCGACAAAACAGAGCCCACCTAAAGTTATTACTAACTTGCACAGTACTTTTCATAGTTTTCATATGCTTTTCATAAAATGAAAACAAACCAGAACAGTTTCACACATTTTTATATAAAAGAAATTGCCTCCATTTGGTTTCTTCATTCAAAGAAAGTGAAAAAAACTTCCTTTTTATCAGGATTAGCCATGAGTCAATCATGATATAATCAGAGCACTACAGAATTTACAGAAAGGAGATCTAAATGTTTCTGATCAGTGTCTATGAACATAGATTTAAAAAGTCTTTGAAAAGATTAAAAAATTAAGTACCATAGGAGGCTGAAAGTTGCAGGAATAAAGAACAGAGGCTAAGACAGTTACTCTGGTGGCAGGTGAGACACAAAGTAACTTGCAGGACATGGGGCAGAAAAGGACTGGCCAAGCAACAGCACACAAGCAGCCACCCAGAGATTGAGCACATGAAAAGGAGTTAAAACTTCTGAGCTTTCTCTACCAAGAAGCAGCATTACAGGAGCATTGCTCATTCT